ATTGACAATATAAAGGCAGGTAGCATACTTAGGTGTGAATGTTTATTTAATTTGTAAGTAGGTAGAGACCGGAGAAGTCGCGCGATTGTAATTTCCACTCAGGAGTGGACAATTTCTTCTCCGGATATTATACAAAGTTTCAGCAACCTTTAGATTCATTAATCATTTAAATATTTCTTTTATTTTTTGCATATATTGCTGATACTCTGTACCGCGAGATATGAATCAGTATCGAACGATTCAAAAGTCTTTGCGTTTTCTTAAAAATTAATTTTTTTTTCGAAAAAGTGAAGGTACCTGAATACGTTGGATACTTACTTAATATTAAGTATATTAACACTTTGCTCTTTAGCAATTCCTATTGAATTATTCATTTGTTATGTATGTATAGTAAATACAAAGTAGAGTAAAGATAAAAGTGGTTGAGTAAAAAAGTAAGACCATAAGATGTGTTACAAAGTTTTTGCTTTTGTTTGATATTATTTTATTTTTTAAATGCAAAGTGTTAATAATAGGTTCATCGATTAGATCAAATATCTGTTGAGGCAGTCGAGTAAATGTTAAAAAAAGCCTCACAGCAGCTTTTAGGACATGAAGAAAGAAGGGGCTAAATGCCGAAGAGGCATTATGCCGAAGAGGCCCCCACAAATTTGTGGTATCAAGTGGGCAACTACTTGCTATAGAGTTATTTTCAAAGGTTCAACAGCAAGTTAGAACTTTTCGAGAATAGCTCTCTAGTCATAATTTATATTTTATTTTATTACATTCTTGCTCGTCATTAATTGGTAGTTGTAATTGGAGATGATGGACCATTCCATCTCCTCGGGACACCAAATTTGTGTCCGTATCGTCTTAAAGATGCATATGTGTTTAGTTAGAGTCAAAAATATTACAATCTTTATATTATTCAATTTTAAAGCTTAAATAACGTTCGATAAATATTACAATAATATCTCTTTTCTTGTTTCGTCTTTARGATTTTTCACTGTGATTGTATTTTATTAAATTTGCTATTTTTCTTTTCCATAAGTATTTCATAATAATTATTACATATTATTTTTTTTTAGTAACTTAATATTTGTACTTTTTCCTTTTTATATATATATTTTATGTAAATGTAAAATTACGCGTTTAAATTTATTTTTTTTGCAACGGGTAATAGAGATTTTTTATTAAAATAAATAGAGAATTTAATTGAAAAATGCATCTGCGAATGGGACGATTTATATGTTAGGCTATTTTATCAATTGATTGTATGATTAATATAGTTTTCTTTTTGTTACAGGTGATCATCGTTCGATTTGACATCAGACCTTTTTCATTTTCTTGTATTTCGTTGATTTTTTAAATATATGTCTAATGGCATTCCTGAAGGTACACACATATGAACTCTTCATATGAAATAGAATTATTTAAAATACTATAACAAATGTAACTTCAAATATTTGTAGAGATGTACCAAAGATATTGAATATATTTGTTAACCAAATTTTTAATCAATGAACATTTTTTTTTTCAGGTGTAAGACATTAATGGTTCTACGTATATTAGTTGATTTTTATAATAATAATTTTTATTATCCTTGATTCTAATTACATATTTTTGATTTCCTACGATTAGAAGAGCTTACTCTTTCTGTTTCTTAACTTTGCTATAGCTTTTGTATGTCATTTTATTTACAGTTTTTAACGTTAGTCAATCAATATTAAATAAATGATTACGTGGCAATGGCATAAATGAATTAATTCTAATTCATTTTTGAATTTCCTTTTTGTTTTATTTAACCGAACAAATTGATTACGAAAATACTATGTAAAAAAATACATTCTAAATGCAAATTGTATTAATTATAGATCGGCAAGATGAAGAAGAGATAGAAATATTTAGGAAGAATTACGATTAGATTTATTATTATCGATTAATTAATTTATTGATTTGCACATACATCAATAAATTAACATCAACCGAGCATAACTTTTCCTCTTATAATAAGAACGGTGAACTTCCTCTTTTTTTTTGTTGATTTATTTTTTACAAATTTATCAAACATATTGATGAATTGTTAATAAAATATTTTGATCGTAATGGAAATACATAGGACCCATACAGTGATAAATAAAAGTATTGGAAACAAATTCAATTTCAATGATAATCTTTGTTAATTTATTAAAAAAAAAAGTAGGATTCCTTATTTAATTGATTTATTAATTATATTTCTCAAATTTAAAGGTAGTTTAAATTTATTGTAAATCATAAAAATGAGAATGGAAGATAGAATAAAATACAAAGAAAATATTTCAAATAATATTACATATAATAATTAAAATTAATTTTCAATTAAATACAGTTTTTATTTATTATTTTTGTTGTATTGTTCACATTAATTTAATTATCATAAATTTACAAAGAGAATATTACAAAATAATTTATACTGTACCAATACTGCTATTCAGCACTGTATACGCGTATGAGTATATGTGTGTTTTATAAAAAAAAAAAAAAAAAGTAAGAAAGAATGTAAAGATTACAAAATCATCGATCCCAAGAATTGAAATCACGTTTCGCAAATGCACAACAAATTACACATGAACGATATTATTTATGAAAGCTTAGCAAATTGTTTCTTTTTATACGAAAAAAAAAAAAAGTAATTGTGTCAACGCGTTTCAATTCGTCGTAGAATGAAATCTTGAAAAATAGTTTCTTATTTAATTTCAAACGTGTACGAAGAACGATTTTATATTAAACAATACAAAATGTTCAAAGTTTTATTAATTTTGTCAACAATCGTTACCCTTACGATCTGTGGTGGTAATTAAATTTTAATCTCTTTAGTAGTTTACTTTTTCTTTTTCCTTTTTTTTTTTTTTTTTTTTTTTTTTATTTTTTTTTTTTTTTTTTTTTTTTTTTCTTTCTTTAATTTTCATTTCTTTTTTCAATATTATTAGAAGCTAATTTAAATCGAACGGATTTGAAATGCAGTGGACGTGTTCATTACAATGTTACATTGACCGCATATTATCCTGAATATTTGAGCGACAATGAAATTGATTATTTGGATATCAGGGGAAAGAAATTAAAAACACTTCAGGTTTGTTCGAATTTACCATATTTTAATAATATTTAAATTAAAAGTAACAAAGATAGATTTTAATTAAAAAATCCTACGTTCAATGTTCACGCGACGACTATACATTTAAAAAAATCCAAATGTTTTTCATATTATTTTATTATTATTATTATATAAAAATCGTTTGAAATTATTATTTATACAAAATTGATTATTATTCGCATTTTAATTGTAAAACAAATAGAACTCTTGTTAAAAAGACCGATATAATATTAATAATAAATAAAAAAGGAAAAAACGTAAAATCTCTTGAAAAAAGAAATTATAGATTAAAGATAGTAATATAGTAAAAAAAAAATCTTGGAAACAAATTTATTTCAGGATTACATAGATGGACGTGAGACTTATGTTACCGCAAGTATGGATTTATTAGGTACTGGTCTCAAATATGGTTCTCATTTGTGTATACCTGAATTAAATGAACACTTTGGTAGGCGCATTCCTTTACAGGTATGAATCAAAATGAATTAAATAAATTTTGAAAAATGTATCTTTTCAATTAATCAATTTTTATATTTGCTTTTCTTTTCTTTTCTTTTTCTTTTTTTCTGTTTGGATCAGGCACGCGACTATGATAGCAACATGAGTGGTAAAAAATTTTCTAGAATTGACATTTGTGTTAGAACTGATGTAGACAGTTATGATCAAGCTGTGAATCGTCTTGTCACTTTATATATATGATCATACTAATCATAAAAAGAAAAGATAAACAATTCAACGAATAAAAATTAATTCGCATAAATGTTACAAATCTGACAAATTAATTTAATGAAATGTAATTAATAATATTCACAAATTTCATATATATATATACGTAGTTTAAAAAATTATAATGTATTCTCTTTTTAACAAAATATTACAAATATTTTACTATTTTTTTTTCTTTATCAATGTATCTCTTCGATATAATAAATAATCTTCATTAAAAATGTTGATACAGAAGTATCTTACAATCTTACAGGAAAGAGAATTGGTATTTAAATCTAACATAAATTATATTTCTTCTAGTCTAATATAAAAAGAGAGTATAAATTAATGCAAAAAAAAAAAAAGAAGGAAAAAAAAACAAGTGATGTAATTATGAAATGTATGTAAAGTCAGTAGAATGTCTTAAATATAATTGTATAATCGTGCCATTGATTTTGAAAGTAAAAATGAAGTAATAAATGATTAAAGCTAATACTTATTACAAATGAACATATAAGATTTATGTTTTTAAATCGATTTACACAATAAATATCTCTTTAAATATAAAATAAGTCTCTCTCTATTACCAATAATATAGTTTATAACAATATTTTGAAACCCATTCAAATGTAAAAATCATTAAATACCTAACAATAATAATATATAAAATAGATTTGACACAAATTTTCAAAATCAACGGGCTCGATTATAATAATATATAAATTATTTTTTAACATTTTTTCTAAGAGGTAAAGTTTGATCATTAATTTCCTCTAACGATGAATTCACTTTATTCCATGGTTGTTCTTCACCCGATCCAAAAGTACTATAAACGAGTATCTCAATTATATAAAGAGCCACGGTTACAAAGAATATAATTCGCCATGCTTCTATTGTTTGCTGTAATTAAACAAAAATAATATCAATAGGAATGTTTTGTTGTTATATAGATAAATTGATGGAAAATTTTTATACAATATTATTTACTTACGTTTCCATGGGTCAATTTACCAACAAATATAGGAACAATAAATCCTGGTATAGTAGCTATGCAATTAGTTACAGCTACTAACGTACCGGCAAAGTTTGGTGCGATATCTATGTGATTAGATAAGAAACCGCAATACATTCCACCTATACATGTTACTCCAATAGTCATCAGTACTACTGCTAAAGCACGATTACATCCGACATAAGATACTCCTATCAGACAAATCATTGGAACGAATGATGCTGAAAAAATACAAAAAAAAGAACACATTTATAAATACAATGTTATTTAATTAGATATATATATATTCTTTCAAAATGAAAATCAATTAAGATAAATCTTACAGAATAGTGTTCCTATCTTTCTTGAAAAGGTCACTGTTATTAAATTCTTGTCTTGCATGATAGCCAATACTTTACTAAGAGTCATAGTAAAAATCCACATACATAAAAATGGCATTGCTGATAATCCGGCATTCTGTATAAATAAAACGAGAGATTGTTAATATATAAAATATGTTATAGATAGATTATATATTTATACGAATTATTATAAGATCTTACCGAACTCATATTGAATTTTAATATCTGACTCATATAAGTTGGTAATTCAATGAGCAACATATACCAACCAAAATTGCTACAAAAGTGTGCTATCAATATTGCCCAAAATGGTGTTGATCTTAAAATTTGTCCCCATGGTACTTTTAATTTCTAACAATGAAATATAATTTATCGCATATAATATATTATGATTTCTCAATCGAATTTCGAAATATCTCTATAATACGCATAACTAATTACTTCTTTGTGACCGGCAATATTTTTAGTATGACCCAAAGATTCCATGATATAATTCTTTTCCTCCTCGGTTATAAATTTCGTTTGTTCTTCCGGAGAATCTTGGATTATCAGCCACCAAGCGGTACACCAAATTAAACATAATGCACCTTCTATATAGAAGATCCATACCCAACCAAGATTTGCAGCCAATATTCCTGATAATAAAATGGATATCACGGTACCCAGAGCAGTGCCTAGAAATTGAAATATTATAACATTGTATTGTCAAACGATCGAATAAAAATATATATTGTTGAATATTATTTTTATATTAACCAGCATAAACAATTGATGCGAGAACGCTTCGTTCATTCGGTGGTGCCCATTTGGCAATCATCACGTGCATAGCCGGAAACGTTACACCCTATATAAGAAAATAATCTGTTAAATAATATCTTTATAATATTTATTTTACTTTTATTTATTATTCTCATATTTTTTTAAAAAAAAAGAATATTAATACTAACCCCACCGAGACCTTGAATGAATCTCATTACAATAAATAACGAGTAATGTATCTCAGCTGCAACAGGTGATAATATCGATGCCACAACGTTCAACAATACTGATCCATTCATCACCCATTTAGCGGATAACAATTCTGACATTCTACCACCTGGTAACAAAGATACCATATAGCCCCAAAAATATGCGGATAAAATAAGACCTTGGAGTGGTTCGTTCCATACAAAAGGACCATCCTGAAATATAATTTATTCAATGATTCATTACTAACACGTTAATTTAGTTTTATTTTTTTTATTTTTAACAAAAATATCTAATCCGCGAATACGTATATGTAAACGAAATTCGGTATTCAATTAATTAATTAACGGAAATAATTTATCATTGAATATCTAATCTATTTTCTATCAAAAATATTTGTAATAATTTCATTGATAAATTGATCCGTATCATTCTTGATTATTAACGATAAGAGAAAGAGAAAGAACTATTATAACGCATATATAGATAAATATATTTGAACACTTAAATATATATGTTTCTTTCATATAAATTAAAAAGAGAAGTATCGATTACCTCGGCAGAAGATACCGTTATGTTTGAGATTTCATCATCCTGACAAACTTCCGTTGTTGTTAAACTTCCATTTTCATGAATGAATTCATCGTGTATCGCTAAATTTCGTATGGCTGTATGGTTCACCATAGCTACGATAGCCACACTGACGTTTACTTTAAAACCATATATAATAGCCAAACCGATTGATCCAAGCATGGCCATTAAATATCGGATTGGAAAGAGTGGGGAGGACCCATGCCTTCTTGGGCCTGTAAAATAAAATGTTTTTCTTTTTAATTAAACTTGTTTCACATTTTCTTCTACGATAAAAATGTTTAACGAGAAAGCCAAAAAATTTGTACGTATTAATAATTTAATGATAAGAAAAGTCAAGATAGAACATTAAGAGAACAAAACTTTGAGAGATAATGTTTAATTCGAGATAGTAATAATAAATAATTTAATTTTTAATTGTTCATACAGTATAAAAATAAAATAATATGAGAAATCATAAAGTACCTGATGTAAGATTTCAAAATCAATTGTTTTTTATTCTCTTATTGTTAGTTGTAAGGGTTTATGGAATAATATGCTTACATATAGTGTATGTGTTTGTTAGTGGATGAGAATGATAAAGAAACATTTTGAATTATGAGAACATTTGGGTAAAAAAAAAACAAATAAATGTCGAACGAGTTTGTTTTTTAATACACGAATAGAAAGTTAGAATTGATTTTAAAATATGTTTGCAAGTAGAAAGAATGATAACGAGAAGAATAAAATAGAACACGATGAGGAAATAAAGATTGTGAGTACTAAACATAAAATATAAAATAAATGTAAGGTCAGTCATCGTTAAAATAAATTAGAAATCATTTTTACAAGATATCACAAAAATTTTATGTGATAATATAAAACCGCGTATACTGATTAATATATTCGTTATGTAATACCAAATATATATCATATGGTCTAAAATTTAAAATCAACATAGTTCAAGAGGATACGATTGATACCATTTGGCATAATCGAGTGAGACCATAAGCCTAATATATATATATGTGTGTGTTACAGTGAAAAATCAAAGTTGGATGTCAAGATTCACATGGTGAAATGTCAACACATATCAAATACATCGGTGAAAGCCCGAATACTCTTGGGTTTATTTTTATACATTAATATTTCGGACATACACACACAAGCGAATAGGTGAATTTTAAGATTCTCCAATTTCGATCTTTCACAGTAACATATATATATATATATATAGATACTTTATTGTTTTCAATAATTTACGTACTATTCTTAATATATAGTTTCAATATTTATTCTCTTTAAAATAATATCTAATGATATTGCATCAGCTTGTTCGTAAATGATTGTAAATCAGTCTTTCATCATCGAGAATAATATTACACGTGTATAATTTGTATAAGAAAAAAGCTAATTAAAAATTATAATACGTTTTGTACTAAATTAATAGAGGACAAATTTATTTTGTTTTCTTTTAATAAATTATACAAATTATATAAATGTTTATTTTTTTTATCTCGTAAAATTTTTGTACGCAAATTAATGTATTTTATAATCGAAGTTGAAAATGCAGTTTTTCGAATGAAGATTTAAAAAAGAAAAGAAAAAGAAAACAATATTCGTATCAATGAACGCGAAATTTATTTCGTTATCGATCGCACGATACAATATGAGATATACATTCATAGATAGATATAACACTTTGATTTAAAAAACATAATAATAGAAATATCGTAATAGTATTTAAAATACGATCTAATAAAATAATTACAATTCTAATGCATCTAATTCGATAGTTTAATATGAACGAAAAAAGAAGAAAAAAAGGAAAAGGGGATGCGCCAAGGTCAAAAGGACATCCGAAGCGCATGATTCAAAAGTCGCATAAACTGTGTTCGAACCATTTCATCTCCTCAAACTTTATTTCACATAATAAACAACGATAAATTAAATCGTTTTCTTTTCTTTTCTTTTTTCTGTAGAAAACAAATGAGAATTAAGATATGCAACCCTTGCAAAAAAACTTTTACATTATAAAAATAATACGATGTGAAAATATAAAAGAAAAGAAAAAAAAGAAAGAAAGGAAATAATGAACACACCTGTAGAATTGTTTTCCACTGCCATCCTATAGAGATTCAGAATTAATTTTTCTCTTCTCACAAAACAAAAAGAAAAACTGTATAATACTATATATTAAATAATAATTATTTAATTTTTATTCTGCAACCACACAGTAACAGCAGTAGCAACAGGGTGGTGCATTTAACTCGAAGTATTCAAAGGGGTGGATGCGATATTTCAAATACAAATAAACATATTATTCAAAGTTTAAGAATTTATTAAAGTATTATTTTATTTTATTCTATAAAAAAGCTGATGAAATCCAAATGCACTTATTGTAAGATAGAAAAGTCTTCTTTAGGTTGTAACACTACTACTATTGCGTGATACCAAAGCACACACACACACAAACACATACACTGAGGTAAGAAAACTAAACGAACTTTCCTCTTTTTCTGTATGCACTTGTCCGAAATGATCACGAGCCATTGGCCCCTCTGCTATAAATGCCGGTTCATCCCACGTAATCAAACACATATATACTTCCAAAGAAATGGGGGGGGGAGAAAACCATGCGTACATTCATATATATATATATATATATACAAATGAAACGTAGCGTCACGAGGCATTTGTGAGTAAAAGAGAAGGAAAGAAATGTGGCGACGTGCGAGTTTGCGCGTTCGTTTAAAATCTGAACCATAAGCTTTCGAATAAGAGAGAATGCTTGAGATCACCTCGTTTAAATAATATTTATTTTTAGGACGAAAATATATATATATATATAGTTCGGTACATGTCGCAGGAATCCTAACATCGTTTAACATTAAAAATCATCCACCTTACATTTCACGTATATCTATTCCCTTTAAAAAAAAAATATATGTGTATATATATACACATATATTTATATATATATATATATATATATGCA